ATTGGAGAAAAGGTGTGAAGGATATCTTGAATCAAGTTCAGATTTTTCAAAAATTACAACGTGTAAATCGATTAGCATTAGATGTAAATCGATTGCACGGGTTTGTAACGTTCTTGTTTTCAAAAAAATTGAAGTGTAAATCGATTTACATGATGTGTTAATCGATTTACTAGTGTTAAAAAATTAATTCAGTTCAATAATCAATCGATTTACACTCCATGTAAATCGATTGCTGCCAGGGGCAATCAGTTTTTGAAAAAACATGTGTAAATCGATTTACATGATATGTTAATCGATTTACATTAGTGAAAAACTTAGAATTTGCTTTAAAACTTTAAGTGAAGTGTTGTGGTAAGTGTGTATATCATTTTTGAGCATTTCTAATCAATTTTGTTCAAATGAGAATTGATATACTTGATTGCTTGCCATGATCCTTGAAGCTTTGAGTGAATGACGCTTTAAGCTAATTCCACTTCTTTTCCTTCTTGCCATAGTGCTTGTTTGTCTTTCATCAAAACTAGCTTGTTTGTCTTTCATCAAAACTAAAGTTGAGTTGAGGCTTGAGATTACATGAGAAAGTGAAAGAAGTGAGGTTACAAACTCACAAAAGGACCTATGAATTGCTTCAGATGGAACACAGTGAAAGCATATATGATTTCTTCACTAGAGTTACAAAACTAGTAAATCAAATCAAGATATGTGGAGAAACGTTAACAACAAGATTTGTTGTTTCGAAGATCTTGATATATTTATCTCCTAAGTTCGACCACATAGTGGTGGCGATAGAAGAGGGTAAATACTTGTTGAAATTGACAAAGGAAGAGCTTCAAGGGACGCTTGAATATCATGAACAAATAATGAATGAAAGAGTTGCAGGCAAATCGAAGAGTGATGTGGTCTTGCAGGCACATTCAACAAAAGAAAGCAAAGGCAAAGAAAAGTGTTTCGACAGAGGTAAAGGTGGCTACAACAAATTGAATGGTAGAAGAAACCAGATCAAAGGAAACGTGTCGAATCAAAGAAGACCATACCAAGGCAACCAAAGAGGTGGTGTTGCAAATAGAGGAAGAGGTGGTGGTCGAAAACCCGATAAGAGTCACATTCAATGTTACAATTGTCATAAGCATGAACACTATGCGAGTGATTGTCCAGAAAAACGAAAGAATCAAGAAAGTGATGCAAAGCTTGCAAAACACGAAAAAGAAGAGATGATGTTGACGGTCACAACAAGAGATGATGATAGATTCAAGGACCAATGGTACTTGGACTCAGGATGCTCATCATATATGTCTGGAAGGAAAGACTAGTTTATCAATATAAAGCCCTCAATGAAAAATATGGTAAAATTTGCAAATGACAATACCCTAGCAGTTGAAGGTATTGTTGATGTGATGATTATGAGGAAATATGGCAAGAGGTCAGTAATTTCCAATGTGTTGTACATACCAGGCATGAAGAGCAATTTGCTCAGTATAAGGCAGTTGGTCAAAAAGAATTATAAAGTGTCAATCGAAGATAAGATGATGAGAGTTGTTGATGCAAATGGGAGATTAATCTTGAAGGCTCTTATGTCTCAAAATTGAACCTTCAAGATTGAACTAAATGTGATGGAGCACAAGTGCCTTTCGACTGCAGCTATCAGAGATGAATGGATATGGCATTATAGACCAGGCCATCTAAACTTCAGAGACATCAGAGATTTGAAGAGAAAAAATATGGTTTCAGGATTGCCTGAAATTGACATTCCAAACGAAGTATGTGAGGAATGTGTGCAGGCGAAGAAACACAAGAATAGCTTCAGCAAGGATGCATGAAGCAGATCGAAGGCTATTCTTGAAGTCATATACTCTGATGTATGTGGTCCAATACAGGTGGATTCGATGGGAGGTAGCAAATACTCTGTAACATTAATAGATCATTTCAGTCGAAAGTTGTGGACTTATCTGATCAAGAAGAAAAGGGAAGTGATCGAAGTATTTGCTAAGTTTAAGTTTATGGTCGAAAGACAGAGTGGTCGAAAGCTCAAAGTTTTGAGAACTGATGATGGTGGAGAATATGTGTCGAAAGACTTCGATAGACTATGTGAAAAGGAAGGGATTATGCATGAGGTGGTGCCACCCTATACTCCATAACAAAATGGAATTGCAGAAAAGAAGAATCGAACCATCATGAATATGGTGAGAAGTATGTTGAAAGGTAAGAATTTACCTAAAGAGTTTTGGAGTGAAGCTGTTTCGACTGCAACATACATTTTGAACAGATGTCCTACAAAGAAGCTAGAAGGAATTACTCCAGAAGAATGTTGGTCTGGTATGAAGCCTATCTTGAGTCATCTGAAGGTATTTGGATCTATTGCACATAGACATGTGCCACATCAGTTGAGAAGAAAACTTGATGACAAGTCAAGTCAAATGATTCTAGTTGGATATCATTCGACAGGAGGCTATAAGTTGTTCGATCCAGTGAAAAAGCATATTGTGATCAGCAGGGACGTGATCATAGATGAGTTTAAAGAATGGGATTGGACTGAAAATGTCAAGAAAGATTCAGTGGGAATCCTATTCAAAGAGCCGGAAACTCAAGTCGAAAGAGAAGTTCGACAAGAGGAACCAGCAGATATACCAAGTACACGCAGGCCTCAAAGAATAAGATGCATGCCTGCAAGATTGCAAGATTGTGTGATTGCATCAGATGGTGTAATAGATAATGAAGGTGAACTGGTACATTATGTTTTCTATGCAGATGTCGAACCTGTTAATGCAGCTGAAGAATTGAAGGATTCGAAGTGGGTGAAAGCAATGAACGAAGAAGTGAAGTCTATCGAAGACAACAACACTTGATCACTTGTCGAATTGCCTCAAGGCAAGAAGGAAATTGATGTAAAGTGGGTATACAAAGTGAAAACGAATTCGAAAGGGGAAGTAACTCGACACAAAGCAAGGCTTGTGGCGAAAGGATTTCTACAGAAATAAGGAATAGACTTCGATGAAATTTTTACACCTGTTGCTAGGATCGAAACAATCAGGTTGGTTGTTGGTCTAGCAGAAATAAACAGTTGACACATATGTCAGATGGACGTGAAGTGTGCATTCCTAAACGGACCCTTAGACGAAGAAGTCTATGTTAAACAACCAGTTGGATTTGTGAAACATGACAAAGAAATAAAGGTGTACAGGCTGCATAAATCCCTGTATGGATTGAAACAAGCTCCAAGGGTTTGGAATAAGAAAATTGATAGTTTCCTAAGGGAGAAGGAATTTGTGAAGTGCACAACTGAACATAGAGTATATGTAAGAAGAAGCAAGAGTAAATTTCTTATACTATGTCTCTATGTAGATGATTTGTTGATAACAGGTAGCTGCAAGAGTGAGATCGAAGACTTCAAAGGTGATCTCAACGAGGAATTCAAAATGTCTGATTTGGGTGAGATTTCATATTTCCTTGGTATCGAATTCTACAAGAGCAGTAGAGGTTTGATGATGCATCAAAGAAGATATGCAGGAGAAATTCTCAAGAGGTTTGAGATGGAAGAATGCAACTCAACTTCGACACCTGCAGAACCAAGACTGCAACTATCGAAAGATGCAGACGAAGATGATGTTGATCCAACACAATACATAAGACTTATTGGGTCATTAAGATATCTTTGTCATACAAGGCCTGACTTAGCATATAGTGTACGTATGATAAGTAGATTCACGTAGAAGCAAAAGGTATCACATCTAGCAGTAGTGAAAAGGATACTAAGGTATCTCAAAGGAACTTTCGATTATGGCATTTTGTTTCCTGCAACTGATAAAGGAAAAGAATACAAGTTAGTGGGATACACTGATTCGAGTTGGTGTAGTGATGCTGAAGATCGAAAGTCAACAGCAGGATATGTGTTTATGCTAGGTGGTGCACCAGTTGCTTGGAATTCAAGAAAGGAATCAGTAGTGGCATTATCATCATGCGAAACAGAATACATAGCTGCTTCTCTTTGTGCATGTCAAGCAACTTGGATGGTGAACTTGGTCGAAGAGATAACAGAGAAAGATCATGGAGCAATTACCATGAAGATTGACAGCATATCAGCTATCAATCTGGCGAAGAACTCAATATTACATAGTCGAAGTAAGCACATCGAAACGAGGTTTCATTATCTTCAAGAGCAGGTAGCACATGAGAAGATGAATTTGGAACACTGCAGAACTGAGAATCAGATTGCAGACATCATGACGAAGGGAGTGCACGTCGAAGTATTCAGAAAGCTAAGAGCCATGATGAACATAGATAGTTTGGACACAATGAATTAGATGGTGTGTTAAATTGTAATTCAGTGTGTCAAAACTATGTGTCGAAAAGATTTGATTTAGATTTAAATAGATTTGATTTAAGTCTAAAATAAATTAGATTTGATTTAGTAACAAAATAAATATTTTGGGCTTTGAGCTTATGGTGTAAGCTCAGTTATAAATAGAGGGAGTAACCCCTATTTTTGTAAGCAAGTCAAACAAGTCATTCACAGTATTTTGCAGTTTCAAAGTGAATAATAAAGTTTTCACAGTTTGTGAGCAGATAGAAACTCTACAGAAATTATTTGTTTTGTCTTCTTTATTTGTTTATCTCATAATTAAATTGTCATTGTGAGATCAATTCATCGTACATATCTGATAGATTTCCAACGGAAACTAATTATTTTAAGTTACTATTCATAATTAATTTATTACAAGATCCACATCAACTTTTTTAAAATAATCCATTAAATATCTAACGGATAAGAATCCATTCCCAAATCTACCTAAACCACTTTTAAACTTTTCAAATACAAGAGAAACCCTAAAAAAAACAAACACCCCCCAAAAATGGTGGCGAAACCATAAAAACACGAAGCGGGAAATTCAAATTCATCATCTCCCTCTTCCCGCTCTCTACTCAATTCATCAACAATCCAACACCAGTATAAATAAACTAATTTTTTTGTCTCATACATCACAGAAACAGAGGAAAAAAAAGCGAAAATGAAGGATTCAAATTCAAAGAAAGAGGGTTCAGTTTCAAAATCAATGACCGTAGAAGACCGATACAGTCAATGGAAGTCTCTCGTCCCCGTCCTCTACGACTGGCTTGCCAACCACAACCTCGTCTGGCCTTCGCAATCCTGCCGTTGGGGTTCTCTCGTCGATCGTGCAACCTACAAGAATCGCCACCGTTTGTATCTATCGGAGCAGACTGACGGAACTGTTCCGAATACCCTGGTTATCGCTAATTGTGAAATTGTTAAACCTAGGGTTGCTGCTGCCGAACATATTTCGCAGTTTAACGAAGAGGCGAGGTCGCCGTTTGTTAAGAAGCATAAGACTATTGTTCATCCTGGCGAGGTTTGATTTCATTGCTTTTGATTTTTAATTACTGCTTATTGTGTTTAATTGAGGATTTTGATTTTTGATTTTTATTTTTATGTGTTTTAGGTTAATAGAATTAGGGAATTTCCGCTGGATATGAATATTATTGCGACTCATACTGATAGTCCTCATGTAAGTATGTTTGATTTTTTATTTATTTGGATTACAGTCTTAAAATTTTGAAATTTTTGTTATTGTTTTTTGTGATGGAAGTGTAATTTTGGTTTTTTGTATTGCAGGTACTGATTTGGAACGTTGAAACTCAGCCTAATCGGAATGCTGTTTTGGGGGCTCCTACTTCTGTTCCAGACTTGGTTTGTATTATTGTTTTCTGTTTTTGTTGTTCTGTTACCCAATTACTTTTGAGATTAATATTTTTGATTAGGGTATAGTTTTTTTATGAATTAATGTCTTGTATTAATAACTATTTACTGGATAGTTTGCTAAGTAATATTAGAATTTTGAATTCACTGTTTTGCCTAATAGTATAATGTGCATTTGACACATCTTTATTCATAAAGTCGGTCTCCTGAAGTTGCTACTATTTTGCAGGTATTAACTGGGCACAAAGACAATGCTGAATTTGCACTGGCCATGTGTTCAACTGAGCCCTTTGTTCTTTCTGGAGGTAGGACCGAGTCCTTTTCATGTAAAAGATGTCAAGTTTATTTTGTATTGATTTGAATTTCTTAATCAAGTTCAAACACTATACGGAAGTCTTTTAAATTTTTTACATCAAAAACACAATGTGATTATAGAATGAGTATTATATGTGGTGAACTTAACTATTAATTTTGCTCCCATAATACTTTATTTTAGCTGTTTATTATGCTCAAGGATCAAATATCAATAATATTCTACTCTTTCTGGATAATTTACTCCATATACTCTACATTGCATTTTGTTGACCTGATGAGAGTACCTATTACCTAATGACAGGTAGGGACAAACATGTGGTGTTATGGAGTATTCATGACCACATTGCAACTTTAGCTACAGAAGCAGGACCTGATGCTAAACAGGGATCTAATGTTGGGGGAAGTGGTGAGAAAACTGCAGAAAGTCCTTCTGTTGGACCAAGGGGCATCTACCGAGGCCATAAAGACACTGTTGAAGATGTGCAATTTTGCCCGTCAAGGTAGCTGTTTCTTGTTTTAGTCATGCTTGTGTTAATTTATGTATATCTATTTTTTGGGTCAGTCAAATACTTATTGAATCACTTTTGGATTCTTTTGTTCCTATATTGTTATTAAGTTATATTAATGGTTTTATTTGATCATTCTCTGATATAAGTCATATTTAACCCTTGTTATTTTGAATTGCAGTGCACAAGAGTTCTGCAGTGTAGGTGATGATTCTTGTCTCATACTCTGGGACGCTCGTGTTGGAACTACTCCAGCTGTTAAGGTATGAATGAATTATTTCATCTTAGAAGAAAATGATGTGAATACAACTTATTGTCTTCATTTCAAATTCTCAGAGATCTCATCCTTTGTTTATTGTTTGGTTATGTTAACTCTATTCTTTTATGCAGGTTGAGAAGGCACATGATGGAGATGTGCACTGTGTTGATTGGAATACTCATGACATAAATTTAATTCTGACTGGGTATGTGCCCCTGCCCTCAGTTTTCTGAATGAACATAGATTAAGATTTATATACTTTTCTGATTTTTCTTTTTTCTTCATGATTAATTATTATGGTTCTTAATGCCATTAATGAGTTCAGCTTGGAAGTTGGATTTTTTCCAGCTCCCATAACTTTTTTGGACTATCGTTCTTTTTAACTTTTTGTTGTTTTTGCTTCAGTTCTGCTGACAATTCAGTTCGCATGTTTGATCGCCGGAAGCTAAGTGGTCACAGGGTTGGGTCTCCTATTTATAAATTTGAAGGCCATGATGCACCAGTCCTTTGTGTACAGGTGACTTGGAGATTTTGCATTGGTTCTATTAATTGCAGTTTAAAATTAAATGTGTAAGTCAGTCATGACCATTTTAATTTTTTGATTTGATTCTCAACTTTGATCTTTTTCAGTGGTGTCCTGCTAAATCATCTGTATTTGGAAGTGGTGCTGAAGATGGCATTGTAAACATCTGGGACCATGACAAGGTTTAAACTCCAAATTTTTCTAAGCTATTCTATCACTCCCACATGTTTTTTTATGGTTTATCACTGATCTGGATGCCAGAAGTATTTAACTTTATACCATGCTCTTGACTCTTTGTTACCTAAAAGTTTTCCGTTGTTTCCATTAGATTGGTAAAACATCTGCTGATCCAACTGTATCACAGGCTTCCCCTGGTTTGTTCTTTCGTCATGCTGGTCACAGGTATGATAGTAGATAGCCATACTCATGTTCATTTATCTTTATCCACTTCTTTGGAAGTCAACATTATATGAATGCTATCATGCTAATTGGTTGGAATTTTTGTTCTCACTAGTATTACCAATATTTTTTTTACTTGTGTCCAGAGATAAGGTTGTGGACTTTCATTGGAATGCAGCTGATCCATGGACAATTGTTAGTGTCTCGGATGACTGTGCTAGCACTGGGGGAGGTGGCACCCTACAGGTAAACAGATCTTTTGGTTAGAACATTTATCATCCATGCATGTTACAGCATTAATTGGGGTTAAATTTTGCCGAATTTTATTAATACATTGTTTGATGTATTGCAGATTTGGCGGATGATGGATCTTATTTATCGGCCAGAGGAGGAAGTGATGGCTGAGCTGGATTCGTTCAAGACTCATATCTTAGGATGTGGCACTGAAAATCTGAACAAATAAGTTACATGTTTCAGTTATGTAGAAAGTATTAGTAGGTGGAATGTTATTTAATAAGTATATATTACAATGGACAACAAATTAGAATGTACTACAACTTGATTGGTTCCAACCTTCATTTAAGGAAAACTATATTTGAATCTTCTGATTTTTTTGAATCCTCTCTTGCCAAGGCAAACAGCAAATTTTAGCAATAGATTTTGAATATTAGCATGAGAAGCTGTTGCTAAAAATTGTACTAGCAAGTAATGCTAATTAAATTTATGTGAGATAAATTTATTGAACTGTAAACTTATGATTAATGCAGCAGCATTTAATAGTTTTGAAAGCTAAAATATTGAAAGTAATGGAGAACGTGGGAATGGATCATATTGAAATCTATTATATCCCATTCAGCCAAATCCTCACTTTATATTCCATCTAATTTAGAATAAAAATAATGAGATGAGATTTTAAAATTAAAATACTAGTTATATAAATTTGAAGCTGTTAAAATTAAACACTTTCCCTTGGTTGAGAAGGTATTAATGTTGACTAATGTGGAACGGTGCAAAGATGATAAAACAATACAGTATATTGGAAATATGAAAACCCCTAGATTGAGTTTTTGAACTTGTAGATATACCTGAGATTGAGTATGAGATAGTGTACGACAAGGTGGTCATTCTTTGGGAGGTTGGGAGGATCTTGCCTCGTAGATTTCGCTCATATTTTGGCTTTGTTTTTGATTGTTAAATAAGTGACTTTCTTGAATCGTTTACACTTTGTATGGATAGTATTAGCATTTTGCTCATTTGTAATGGTACTTGGTAATGAATATAATTTTTTTTTTTCATAGGGTCTTTTTTTGTTTCTACATTTACATTAATGATCATACACTTTTGTCATTATCAATGAAATGTATAGCTTTCATACCTAATCCCCTACTGAGAGTGACGATTCTTTGTTGGTTATAGCATGATATATATTCGTGCTATCTTTATTGTCAGTGTCCTTAACTCTTTGTAGTCGTTTCGGGGTTGTTCTTGGTTGATTCATTGGGTGTTTTTGATCAAAGATATGCTCCTCTTCCTTGCCCCCCAAGTAAAAACTTGGTTCGAGGTTGACGTGAGAGGGCTTCACCTCTTATTGTTTGGAGTGACTGACTATCAAGAGGAGGTGAGCTCAGATCACCACATTCAGATTCGAGGTTTAGGTGCCCTTGGTCACATAACTTTCTCGTACTTAGGGTTAGATGGCTTTGGTCACACACCTCATTTGCTTTTGAGGTTCAGTGTTTTTGACAGCAGGTGCTCCGGCAATTTGGATTCCCTCCTTTGATGCGACAAGGCGTGGTCCTAAGGTTTCCATGTTGTAGTACCTTCAGTTGCGTAACAGCTCGTAACAAAGCTCTTTGTGTGTTTTCCTCTATTCTTTAAGGTCTCTCGTTGAGAAGATGTACATTTTGCTGTTGCACCAGGTTATAGATGGTTGTTATAAGTTCCTTTGTGCCTTGTATACTGAGTGTTTCCTGGAGTCGCTAGAGGTTCCGAAACATTTCTGGTCCAGGAAATTGCATTTGTCGTGGAGGTTATTTTGGCGTATGGCCTTGGAGTAGTTTGCTAAACGATTGGAACGACGGTAGAACCTGGTAAGTTCTATGTCCAACCGACAGAAAGGTTGAGATCTCGCGGTTGGAGAAGTAACCAGAAGCAGATTGCCTGTTCCAGGGTAGAAGGTCGATCTCCGAGAGTAGAGACGAGGACTAGCACGGCGGCTTCAGTCGCAGGGATGGAGTTGTGATGAACGCAGACCGAATTACTTTAAAATTGTAGCCCTAATGCATCTCCTTTCACATTCTTATCCGTCAATTAACTCCTTCACTGCAACTTTTAGATAAGTCAAACTAGAATAAGTGTTCTTTGAACCTTGAGGTCTGCACTTACTCTATAGGAAAATTTGTAACACTATTGCGTCTCTTTTCATATTCTTGCTTATCTGTCAATTAACTCATTTAACTGCTTCTAGTTAAGTCAGATGAGAATCCATAGGAGTGTTTTCGAGAGCTCCGCACTTAGGCATACACTCTTCAACAATGGTATTTGACTTGTTGAACCAATGTTATAGACCTAAAGTTGAAAAATATGACAGCGATTGTATATTTTAATTGTTATAAATATTTGTTGTTGGGCTGCATTAGTCCATCAATTGGACCCTTTGGGTTGCTGTTGTATTATTTTGCACATATTAGATATCATTGTATAGTGCTATGTATAGGTATAATAGGGGCATTTGAAACACCCTCAAGTTTAGCCCTATCAAGGTATATACACAACCAAATCAATGAGATATCATTGTTTGTAACGACAATCAAACGAAATACAGATTCAACCTATAAAATTCACAGACTAAAGAAGACATGTGAACCTCAACTGAAAGTCGCAAAACAAATTCTATTGGGAGTCCTTATCACTTCCAGCGAACGGATTTGGTATCACTTTCTTGTACCTGCTTCAGAAGAGCTTCTGCAAACTGTAGGACTACATCATTTTCTTCACACAATTTTTGGATTCTTTCATTCTCCTGGACTTCCTCTGCTGCAGTAGCTGTTTTAGACTCGCTTTCAGCAATTAGAGAGGCTGCATTTTCTCCAGCTTTCTTAAGTTCCTCTTCAATAGCCAATTGAGCTTCCACCAATGATTCATCAAAACTCCTCTTTCTTTCACCAGAAGATGACTCTGGATCCTCATCAGGCAATCTTGGCTCACCAGAAGATGACTCTGGATCCTCATCAGGCAATTTTGGCTCACCAGAAGGTGATTTTGGATCATGGTGAGGAGAGTTCGGCTCAACCGAAGCTGGTTTGGGATCATCAAGGGGCATTATTTTGTCATCAGAAGGTGCCTCATTCTCCATCTTGTTTATTGTATACCCAATTGAAACAGAAAATGAATGAGATGATTAACAAGAAATCAAACTGAAAGCTGGTATAAAAAATGAATACATTTTATGGATTACCTCTTCCAGAGTTCTTTTCATATTGGATGATGGTACTGAAACAGTTTAACTTGTACCTGAAATAGTTGAATACATTTGCAGTGTGTGATGTGAGAGAATCAAACCTAGAAATGAAAGAACAGTTTCTACTATGTAATTCATTCAAGAAAGCAAACTGGAATCGATAAAGAACGATTCAGAATACGAAAATCAATCAAGAAAACAGTGTTGAAATGATAAAGAACGATTGAGAATTAGAAAAAGAACGAAAATGCAGAGAAAGTGACGGAACCTTCTTGTGCTGTGCGAGAGAGAGAGAGAGAAAGTGCAATGCAACTGAACTCTGAATAACTGCTAACTGAATTTTGGAATTCGACGCTTCTCTATTTATATTGTAAATATATAGGCCCTTTATGTCTCAATCGCTTACGTGTATATTAATTTTTAGTGTATTTTGTAACTAAAACATTTTAGATTTACTAATAGAAATCAAATTAGACTATATTTAATATAAAAATTATGATGTAAAAAAGTTATTTAATTTTCTTGGTTATTTAAGTGTGCTTTAGAGGAATGTTATGCCCTTTGGCCAGCGAGAAGATATTTTTATTTTGGTTGATAATTTTGTAGAAAAATTGAAAGCAAAATGAGAATTTTTTGTTGTTGTAATAATCAGGTTTTGAAAAAAAATATAAATAATCATGTTTTAGAGAAAATTATGCAAATAACGATGTTTTAAAAAATGATAATATGCAGTAGTAATCTCAGATGACGCATGCCTTGGAAGATTGGTCTTAAGCGCCATCTCATTTGACGCATGCACTTTTCTTATGCCATGTGAGATGAGAGCAAGACATATGAAAGGTTTGAAACTTTTCACAATCGCACCAATGAGATGGTAGTATAACCATATACTCTTGTCTTGGCAACCCCTCGTTGTGGTCGAGTGTCTCTTTGATAATGAAGTTGTGACTATACTGGTCGAACCTTGTAACAAGATGGGTGTTGGCTTTGGCGCTTTCTGCCTTAATAAATTTCATGCAACTTTCACTCTGTAGTTGTCTCGATTGTAACACCGCGTTTCACATTTCACCTCTTTTTGCAAACAACGAAGTCATCCTAAAATATGTTGATTTCACCAAAGCGGTTACTGGGAGGTTTCGTATGCCTTTGAAGACACGTTCATTGATTCAATAAAATTTGTTGTCATGTGGTCCCATCGTTGTCCATTGTCGTATGACCTCGTCCATTTCTCCAGTGGAAAATTATCAACTCACCTACCTGCATCTAGATTTAACAATCTGATCTCGTTGCGGTAGTGTTTGAACGAAAGTTGTGTTAATGTATACTCCGCGTTCATAACTAACTGTTCACCTGTTAACCCCATCAACAACCATCTGCTCATCTTCCCCTACACAACAAAGTAAGTCTATTGCGTAAATAATTTATTATTTCTCTCTTCGCTAAATAGATATACATAATTAATTAATTTTTCATTCCTTTAGGTGTTGTGTAAAGGGTATGGATTACAACAAGAATCCAAGATGCAATATCATTCTATATGGTAATCTTTTGGATCACCTTGGCACGAATGATGTACATAGCACCTCTAAATTTTTCTTCTTTTAATTTATTTATTTTTAAATTTATCAATATTCGGATTTAATTTTATTCACAATTTATCCGAAGACCATATTTGGATTTGGACCATGAACCCAATCCCGAAGATGCAGTAGTTTGAACAATAAAGACTACAATTATACGATTCAACATTGTGGAGATGCACCACAATGACCGTGTCAAGATGCAGTTCATAATGCATCAAGAAATACCACGCGATCCAACTTGTTTGTCACCCTGGCATCTCAAAAGGACCGACGCCCAATGAGGTATTAATAATTGAAAAGAGTTCGCTCTAGAATGGTGTAAGATGTGGCATAGGCGTCACCAACATGTCTATAATTCTCTGTTTTCCTCACCCAACATAATATGCGACACACAAATCAATATCATGATTGGTACATATATGTTACTAATCCTGAAATGTTTGTGTCTGACCCGAGATATTTGATCGACTCACGCATACAATGGACCCAATTCTCAAATCGCCAACAACAACCCCAACAACAAACCCAACACACATCAATCTCCCACCAAACACCACGACGATACAAATCCACAAACACCCAACCTCAATCACCACCTCAATACCAATACACCCATACGCCACACACCCAACCTCAATCTCAATCTCAATACCAATACACCCACATGGTCCAAACACAATTCCAATACTCTAAACAAAGACCATACATCCAACATTCTGATGTGGGCCCCTCACCATCTCACCTTAGCCTAGACTTTGACTTACCAGAAGAATATTCCCCAACCAACCCAACTTACCATCAACCATCACATCACCATAGCACCCAACAATCACAGTACCAAACTCCACAAGATTTATTTCCATTTTACCCCCCTTATTCAGACGACCAGTGCTATCGATCATCCATAGAACTCCACCCTGCACCAATACGACCAAATTTTGAGGGCATGGATAACCGACTGTTTGAAAGCGGATTTTCCAGATATGATGATCTAACGAATTTCATGGATCATGAATGCATTGACTTCGCATGGTCCTCGACCTAACCGCAATAGGAAAATCTTCGAAACACACCACGAGTTAGGCGAGGACGCGGGTGTGGAACCACAAGTCGTTATTGAATCCCGGGAGACAACTCAATAATATGTAATCATTTAATTATTATTGAAAATCAAATTTTCATTTGCAACGAAGTTATCTTTTGTTTATTTAACAAAAAAATTAAAATAAAAAACAATTTACATTTAGAAGCTATCTGAGATGACTTAGGGCAAATCACATGTACTTAGGCGCCATCTCGTTTGACAGCACCTTTAAAAATATATATATATATATATATATATATATATATATATATATATATATATATATATATATATATATATATATATATATATATATATATATATATATATACGTCATATGAAATGACTATCACATATTATCATTTTCTGAAACATGATTATTTACATAATTTTCTCTGAAATATAATTATTTATGTTTTTTAATACCTAATTATAACAAAAAAAATCGTAAAATGTGATTTTTTTTGTATTTTAAAAACTGCATAACAAATTTTAATATCTAAAACATTTTATAAAAATATGCATATTTTTAAATTATAGTACTCATGAATATCGACAAAATATTTATGAATATTTTAAAATCTACCTTACTTGTTTGATATTACCGTATAAGTATGCGATAAATACGAATATTATATTCATTCAACGTAAAGAATAACTGAAAAGTAGAAACGCATTCATAATAATTATGACATATAAAATATTGTTCCTTAACACTTTAAAAGCAATTGTAAATCAAATTCTTTTTAAAGAGCAACATAATTTATAATTAAAAAAAGAACACATTTTTTATACATTCAAAAAATGGGTTTCATATACATTCAAAAAATGGATGAAGTAAAACGGGTGTCATCATACTATAGCTCATTTTGAAATTATATTTATGAATAATTGTGATGTTGTAATAGTATAAATTTATTACTTTATAATGTATAGATCTAAAAAATAATTCTCCATCTTGGTGGAGTTTTACATTCGGAGTCTTTAACGTGTGAGATTCATTAACATATATTCTCTAATATTTATATAGAGACCGAGGAATATAAAATATTTAGTGAATATCACTAAATCTTTAAGTTAACTTTTCCTATAAATGTCACCTTTACATTACTTTGCTGTAGAAATACAAAACATTCATATATTTGAAACTAACAAAATTAAGCAAAGTATTATTAATACAATTTGACATGTTATGATTAAAGTTACCTGATCAACCTGTTAAAGAAAAACTATATATATAATTAATTAAAATAACTTCGTATGAATTCATCGGCATGTCTGGCATTTTATAGATCATGTAGTTGTATTTATGTCATCTCATTTATTTTTCTTAACAATTTCTATAAATTACTCACCTTTCATGCATTTTTTTTTTGTTGGTATAACACTCATTTTATAATTATAGTTGATCACTTATGCAAATAAATAAATAAATTAAATTCATTTTATAATATAATCAATTTTAAATGAGACAGAATAGAATTTTAAGTGCTCGGTATGGAAAGGAAGAGGGGCAATTATATTTTGGGGGTAACAGTAGATCTGTCTGGTGGAGAAATTTAAAAAATATTAGGGAGGGTATCGGTTTAGTTGATGGAAGGTGATTGATCGATAACATTAATCGGAGAATAAGAGATATGTATTCTATTCAATTTTGGATAGATCTTTTGTTGGATGATATGCTTTTGAAGGAGAGATTTAGTACTGTTTGATTTAGCGGAGAATAAAAGGACGACATCAACAAAAATGGAAGAATTTGTTAGTGCGTGAGACACTTTAGTGCAGAGAGAAAGATAGAATAATAAAGAAAATAAGGATTTATATTATTGAATTGTACAAATAATGATTCAGGCTAAGACTATTTATATATAACCCTAATCGAGCTTGAGTCTACACAACTTGAATTATATTTTAATATTAAATCTAATCAAATCTAATTTAATATTTCAACACACCCCCATAATCCAAGTTGTCGAACATCCTCAAAAATAATCAATATTAACTATTCCTAATTTCTTTCTCAAATTCAGGAATTTGTCAATCTTCAATCCTTTTTTCATGACTGAGCTTGTAGAGCATGTATCGAGTCTTGTACTCATTTCCTTTCGACAATCCTCGTCTCATGCGCCTCCAACGAACCAACCAAATCTTTCACTTTAGTGATTTCAAGATTGTTGGATTCTTGAATAGCTACGATAACGCGATCAAAGTGAGAGGTCAACGTTCTCATTACCTTCTCAAATATTATCTTATCAATTATGATTTCACCATAACCCTTCATGAGATGGACGAGTTTTTGAATCTTCGACACATATTCTGTAACTTTTTCATCTTCTCCCATCGATAACTCA